CTGGGATGCCCTGGGATGCCCCGGGATTCTCAGGGTTGCTGGGATGCCCTGGGATGCCCCGGGATGCTCAGGGTTCCTGGGATGCCCCGGGATGCTCGGGGTTCCTGGGATGCCCTGGGGTGCCTGGGGTGCCTCGAGGTGCCCCTGCCGTGCCCTCGGCCGGCTCTGCCGTCTCTGCTCTGGCCGTGCTGCCCGCGGTATCCTCTCGGTGGTGCCTGCAGCCCAGCGGCTCTGCCCGGGACGTGTCCTTGGCTTTCCAGCCTCTGGTTCCATCCGCGGCTCCCAGAGAATCCAGCGGTTGGTGTCCAGCACCTTTACGAGCCGCTCTGTGCCCCCACGGGCAGTCTGAGCCGTGTGCTCGCTGTGCCAGTGGTGCAGCTCTGTCCAGTGCCAGTTCTGCCAGATTCATGCTCCCATGATCGGGTTGTGGAGCTGGTGACATTGGAATTTTGGCTGGCAGGTGCAGCACTGTGGCTCCTTCACACCTCACAGGGATGTCTGACAACAGTTATTTCTTTTTTCTGAAGACAAGGGAGAAAGTAGTGGCAGAATGGTATGAGGCTAGGCAAAATGTGTGCCAGGAGGTAAGAATCATTTTAAGGAATAATTCTGCTGCGTAGTTCCTATCCCTTGTGCCTGAGGGATTTGAGATACACGCAGGAAAACGTGAAAATCACACACCAGGGCCTATTGAAATTTTCTGTGTTCCTCCTTAGCAAAGGAGAGGCATCAAAGAATTTGCTGCTCCTGGCACATGTTCATGCTGTTTTTCTGTGAGGCTTTGTCTTTTTTCCCCCTCCTCTGGTCTCCTCTGTTTCAGCCCCAGGGTCCAGAGCTGGGAGCTGCCCTGGTCCGTGGCACCCTCAGGGTCTGGAGCTGCAGTGGCAGCACTGGCTGGCTCAGACAGGGTCTGGCCAAGCAGAAGCTGTGGCAAAGTCCAGGGATAGGTGTCACTTCTGCTGTGGAGAAGTTCTGCCCTTCTGCTCCTAAAGCAACACACGTGCCTGGGTTATAGGTCTGAGCTGAGCAACTTCATGGAACACACGTGATGCTGTGGGCAAGCAGCAGATACTCCAGTGTGCTGGAAGGAGTTTGCCTTGTAAAACCAATGTGTTTCTTTTCTCCTTGAGAATTAGTGCCTTAAAGCAAGAGCTTCTTTGCCAGGCACTCAGTGCCCTTGAGGTATGTGTGCACTGGGAGCTCCTCGGGGGGAGAGGTGCTGAAGCAGAGCAGTATCTGCTCCCCAACTCCCAAACAGCACAGATGTCTCTGTGCTGGGAACCTGTTGCCACATTCTGCCCCCTTGACCTCCTTGCACCACCTCCTTGATGTGTAGTGTGCAGGATGCTGACTTGCATCCCTGGGCTGTAAACCTTTGCCCTGTCAGCCCAATCTGCTTTGCCCAACTTGGATGGACTATTGTGATTTTTATCAGTGTTCTCCAAGGTCTCGATGTCTTCAGTTTGTCGGGAAATGCAGTTTCTAACCTTTGTTTGCAGTTGCAAGCTTTTTTCAACAAGGATTAGGATCCATCCACATTGTATAATATAATTCAGTATGAATTTAAGCAGGTACATAAGTGCAATAAGTGTGTGTGTCAATACAGGACAAAGACACTTTGGTCTGGGTGCAGGTGGTGATCTCAGCAGTCTGAGGGCAGGAGATGGTACCTCAGCTATCCCAAAGAAAGTTGGGGGGACAAACCTTTTAGCAGGGCCAGTCGTGATAGGCCGAGGGGTTGTGGCTCTAAACTGAAAGAGGAGAGATTTACCTTAGGTATAAGAAGTATTCTGCAATGAGGATGCTGAGACACTGGCACAGGGTGCCCAGAGCAGCTGTGGCTGCTCCATCCCTGGGAGTGTTCCAGGCCAGGTTGGATGGGGTTGGAGCAGCCTGGGCTGGTGGGAGGTGTCCCTGCCCAGGGCAGGGGTGGAATGGAACAATCTTTAAGGTCCCTTTCAACTCGGAATCACAGAATCAATCAGGTTGGAAAAGACCTGAGTCCAACCTGTGACCTAAGAGCACCTTGTCAACTAGACCACGGCACTAAGTGCCACAACCAGTCTCTCTTGAAACACCCCTAGGGATGGTGACTCCACCACCTGGAGGTGTTTGAGGAGACTGAACCATTCTGTGATCTTTCTAGAGATGCCACAAGCCTTTTCTTAGCAGCTTGAAATATCTTGAGGTGCATTCAGATTGCAGGGAAGTGTTTTCCACATTTTTGTGACATTGAAGCACAGAGTGTTCTTTGGAAAGAAGCGAAAAAGGATCATCTGGTGATAGGTTAACTTTTGTGGGGCTGAGCTAAAAACCTTTTTAAAGTTCACCTAAAATAAACTCCTGCTACATGTAAATACTATATGTTATTCTTGCAAGTTTGCTGAGCAAATTAGAGAGAGTTTGCATGGCCCTCTCCATCACTTGGCGCTGCCACGCACCCACTGCTGCTCAATTTGCAGTGCTCCCTGTTTACCAGGGCCAGATGAGTGCTCTGTGTGTTTCCAAATTTACAGTCATTTAGTCCCTCACATAATGTTCTCCGCTTAAATGTTTAGTAATTAGTAGAAACCAGGTAGAGTGGTTGTGTCTGACTCATTTCAGATCTGCTTGAGGATGTTTATTTTTCAAGCTGCTGCAGACACGGTGTTTTTTCTCTATTTTCTGACTTGTGTGTATCCTTCATGCAGTGTTTTTCTCCTCCCTTCCCCACAGTTCGGATGTATCCACCTACCCAAAAGGCCTATAAATAAATCCGAATGCTGTGTGGAATTGTTTTCTTCTGAGCAGCAGCTGTTTGGCCTCTGTGTATCCGTGCCCAGAGCGCTGGGGACATCCAGTGGCAGGAAAACACTTAATGACAGCCTTTTGCAACAGTGCAATAAAATGCTTAGTGCTGATCCCTGAGGAGATAATGGGCTGGTTGGTCTGTGGCCACAGGTGGTGAGCTTGGAGCTGACCCCGTTGGTCTTTGGACAGTTGGGCCTCACCTCCTCCTCGTTCAGAAGTCATCTGCTGGGGTCACTGCTCACACACACCTCCAGGTTTGTTGCTGCAGTTTTCAGGGGACTGAACAGTGACTCTTGCTCTGTCCTGCAGGCCTTGCAGTTATGCATTCCCAAAGCACAAACCAGCTGGATGTGGGGAACAATCCTCGCGTGGGCACCAAGCGCTACATGGCTCCGGAAGTGCTGGACGAGACCATCCAGGCAGACTGCTTTGACTCCTACAAGAGGGTGGACATCTGGGCCTTTGGGCTGGTCCTCTGGGAGGTAGCCAGGCGCATGGTTAGCAACGGTGAGTGTCTGGGGCCCCTTCCTTGGCTCTGGGAGGGGCTGAGGAACTGGTGTTTGCTGACAGAGCATCTGCCACCGAAACACACAGGAACGTGCTGGACCTCCACAGCCTGAAGGGTCAGACACTGGTGATAATAATTGCACAGAACCTGCTCCCAGTTGCTCTGTATTCCTGGCTGTTGTTGTATGTAATTCCTTGCAGTGGTTGAGGTGGAGTCACCATCTCCCCTCACACCCACGTGCTGAGCTGGTGGCAGTCGTTGCGTGTCAGGTGGTCACTCTGATAGCCCTGTTTGCTTTGCAGTGAAGACTTTGGCACTGGGAGGGAGTGTGCAGGGCCCAGGGCTGTGAAGGGGGTGATGGTGTCTGTGCTAGAAACTTCTGCTCTCCAGGACTGACAGACACTGGGCATCTCTCACAGAGTCTGTTCCAGTGAGTCAGCCTGATTTATTACTGCAGCTCCTGGAGACTTGGACGTTGTTGTCATCTGACTAATAAGTCTGATAGTTCTTAAGATGTATATATGAATTTCACTTTTTATTCTTCTTAAAAACGTACCTAATGGTCCTCCAGGTCACACTGTGGTTCTGGGTACCTTTCTGTTTAGTATGAGGAGGAAAACGTGCTAGGAACCTCCTTTGGCACAAGCAGGAGTCCTTGTGTGTTGTCTCTGTGCTGTAGTGGGAGCCTGGTGGGTGGTTGTCCTTTCCTCTGCAAGGCTGAGGCTGCTGCTGTGGTGTGTGCCAGGGGCTGTGTGGGTTTGGCTTTGCCCTAGCAGTGAGATTTGGGCATGCACAGGACAGGCTGATGTTAGTCAGCTAAGGGCCATGAAGATGCTCTGAGGGCTGAAGCCTCTCTGCTCTGGAGCCAGGCTGGGAGAGCTGGGGGTGTCCAGCCTGGAGGGGAGAAGGCTCTGGGGACAGCTTAGACCCCCTTCCAGTGCTGAAAGGGGCTCCAGGAGAAGGAGAGGGACTTTGGGCAAGAGCCTGCAGTGACAGGACAAGGGGGAATGGCTTCCCACTGCCAGAGGACAGGGTTAGGTGGGATATTGGAGAGAAATTCCTCCCTGTGAGGGCAGTGGGACACTGGCACAGGTTGCCCAGAGCAGCTGTGTCTGCTCCATCCCTGGGAATGTTCCAGGCCAGGTTGGATGGGGCTTGGAGCACCCTGGGCTGGTGGGAGGTGTCCTTGCCCAGGGCAGGGGGATGAAACAGGATGAACTTTAATGTCCCTCCAACCCAAACCATCCTGGGATCCTATAAAGTAAGGAGGAGTAATGGTGAAGAAGAGGCTATGGTATGTGTGGGCTGTAGTTAGTTTGAGAGCAGAAAGCCACAAAGCCCCAGGGAAAGCAATGCAGTGTATTGTAATGACAGAAGTGACCCTAGAGCCGTGCAGGCAGCCCAGGCTGGGCCGTGCTGAGGGACCTGGTGTCCCTGTGCTGGGTCCCTGCAGCTCCCGGGGGCGCGGAGTGTGTCGCGGGTCAGCGATGCCCTGTGGGCACAGTGGTGTGGGACAGAGGTTGAGTGGCTCACTGGCAGCTGCTGCAGAGCCAGGGGGGTCCCATGGGCCTGGGATGTTCGGCTGTGGCAGCTCAGAGTACTCCAGAACCACTACTGGAGTAAAGGCCAGACCCACTGTGCCCTGCTGAGCACAGCTGCTCTGCTCTGTGATGGCCAGTGATGGGCCTCGTGCTTGGGAACGACCACGTGAGAACAGCTCAGCCAGGCCCTCTGCAGTGATAAAGTGCATCTGTAATGGCCTAGTGGCCCTGGGAGTGTTTGCAGAGCTGAGGTTGGGTGTTTGGCTCGTGCAAAGCCCCAGCTGGACCTGAAGAACAGGTGAGGGCACAGAAGGGGCTCTGTGTTCTTGGGGTCTCACAGTGAATTGGGTTCTGGGAGGAGGCAGGAGAATTGTAAAGACAAGAATTCTGCCCAGCAGGTAATGTTTGGTGAATACAGTTGTGAATTGCTCGGAGAAGGAGGAAGAGTGATGCTTCTTTACACAGCACACAACGTAATTTGTCCTTTTCAATGCTGGACTAGCACCAGCAAACCCTGCAGGCTGCCTGGTGCTTCTGGTGGGAACCCACTGGGGTAGCCAGGCCTCCAGCTGTCCTGCTGGAATTTCCTGAAGACTTCCCTTTTTGACTAGTCATTGCAGACAGATTTTTACGGAGTATCCATGGGAATACCTGCGGGATTTTGATCTTCATCTCCAATAGAACAAGGAAACTAAAGCTCAGCTGTCGTAGCCAAGACTGAGCTCCAAAGCAGCAGAGATTCTCCAGGCCGTGGGGCAGCTGCAGGGTGCTGGGGGCAGATTCCAGCCCGTCCTGCTCTGCTGTCAGCCCAGCAGTTTGGTGTTCCTG